CCTGCTGGCTGGGGAATTCTGGGAGTTGAAGTCCACTCATCTTAAAGTGGCCAAGTTTGGACAACACTGGTGTAAAGGGTTGCTAAGGAGCTTGCGATTCCCCCTGACTGGATTTGTAACTCTGTTTAATTTTTAGGATAATCATAAACCTTCTTCTGTATCTCTATATTTCTGGAATATTTAACTATTATTACTGGGCAGGTAGATCAGCAAAATGCAATGTAAAATGATCCCTTCTTCCTGGCGCACGGCCTTTTAAAAATGTAAGGCTTAAACTGCATCGCTCTCCCAGATGGGTTTGCTAGCTACACGGGAGGAGGATGCTGGACAGAGGAACGATCTACCAAAATGATTAGTGCTGGCCGCTGAATGAGGCTGACTGGGGATCAAACCAGAGCTACCACAAACTATACCAGTGTTTCTCAACCATGGCAACATGAAGACATGTGGACTTCAGCTCCCAGAATTGCCCAGCCAGCATCCACCCATCTTCAGAGCTTGTGGTAGCTCTGGTTTCATCCCCAGACAGCCTCATTCAGCGGCCAGCACTAATAATTTTTGTAGATTGTTTCTCTGTCCAGCCAATGGCTACGTTCGCTGAAAACAATGGGAAGTGTAGTCCAACACATCTGCAGTGCTGGTGTCATCCTTCCTTGCTCTGAAGAGGTTCATCTCATGGAGCATCCAGATGACCTGGGCTGAGCCCCCCAAACTAAGCTGAGTTGGACTTAATATTTGAATGGAAGACCACCACAGACTCCCAGGTCTGTAGACAGGGCTGAGATTTCTAAAACAAAAATCCAGAAGGCAACATGGTTCAACAGGGATCTTCACCATGCACACGAGTGTTCATGAATTATGTTACAGATCTTTATTTCATCGGAGTCGATATCAATAATCAATAACGTTGGTTGCTTTTGCTGGCTGGGTGTAAAATATCCAGTTAAGTTTCTCTGCTGATTTTTGCTTGTTAATGTTTGGCTTAGATTTTAGGAAAGTGGAGTGGGAGTTTAATCCTAAAGACGATGGCTTCAAGTCAACCTGTACAGTTCCACAGTTAAACTTTATTGGGAATTCCAGGTACATATACCAAATTCCTCAAAGGATGGGTGGGAAAAAGATTACTAAAGAAATGTTGGTTTTCAGAACAGTGAACACAATGGAATCAAGAAATAATGTGGAGACAGAATAATTTTAAAAAGTACTATAGATTTTTTTAAAAAATAGCTAATCATAATTTGCATGAAACCGTCTCAGAATCTTTTTTTTTTCCTCTTCCTCATTTATGGATTATTTTACTTGAATGCTTCCTTCAGTTTGCAAACGGTGTAATAAAAATACATTCCAGAAAAACTAACCCTTGTTGCAAATAATTATTGCTCATTTAGCCTTAGATATTTAGCCCTTCTCAAGCCATGCGTTTCTTTTTATGGAGGCAACGGCAAATTTTGAAGGATGGCTTTAAAAGTCCACATTTTGGGGGACTGCACTTTTTACATGGTTCTGAGCTGTCTTTAAAAATCCAGTTGCATTTTTTTCTGAACAGCAAACAACCTGCCCCACCTTCTATATTCCAATCTACTTTTTAAACTCTCCTATTTTTTTTTCAAGAGACAAGAAGGTGACTTTATGCCTGAAGAACTGAGAACTCCTCTGTAAACAAAGAATTTATTTCAGTATTTGTCAAATTTGGCAACTTCAACATGTGCGCTCCTGCCTTGGGCATGAAAGCTGGCTGGGTGACTTTGGGCCAGTCCCTCTCTCTCAGCCCACCCCACCTCACAGGGTTGTTGTGGTGGGGAAAATAGGAGGAGGAAGGGGCATGAGGTATATTCACTGCCCTGAGTTATTTATAAAAAATAATAAAGGCAGGATAAAAAAAAAATCCAGTCCTCCAATTTTCTCTTCTTAGTGTTAACTTCTCCCTCCTTACAAGACTTCCTGGGTGAGAATCAGCCATTCTCTCCTTATAATTTCAGGGGAAGAGGAGAAGCAGAACCGTAATTTTTTTCTGACAATCCACACAAGTGAAATGAACTAACCAATGGGCAGATCATGGCCATAATTTTTTAAATGCATGACTGAAACTCCAGTTCAGCCAAAAAATGGTAGGTTGAGGGCAGTTGCTTTTCATCCTAGCCATCTTCCAGACAAGGAGGAAAACTCCCACATTCTTCTCCCTATTTTTATTCAGAAAAGGACAGGCTGTGCCTTCTGAATTAGGGAAAGGGAAATTTTAAAATTGGTAAAAGAAAATTAAAAAGCAAAACTCACCATTTCAACTTTCTGTGAATGGAAAAATGGGAGCTTCTACATTCTAAAGGTGATTGTCACCCCCCCCCCAAATGTTTTTGATTTATTGAACATGAAATAAGTCAGTCTAGGAAGTTTCAAGGGAGGACTGTGTGAAACTGTAGAGGATTTCGTTCCTTTACCAGCCACATTCACTCTCAGTGTCTAGAGCATGGCCACCCATTCAATACTGAAAAACCTCAAAAAGAAGAAAAAACGGAAATCCACTTACTGGGGTATCCAACGGCTGAGTGCAGTAAGTCCATACCGGCTCCAGCCAAGGTTAATCCGTTGACTGCATAATGTGGTTGCTTGATGTAGGACATCATGCTCAGAAGAGCGATGTCTCCAACTCTTTCCTTGGGCTTGGAGTCAAGGCGATGCTCCTGCTGGCCTTCAGCTTCAGTGAACTTTGAGAAGAAAACCTCCTGGGTTATCCTGGCCACTCAGCATCCAAGAGCAGCTGGAAAGAAAAGAGACACAGCCGAATTGTGGTCTCCGCCCCAAGGCGGCAGAGGTGGAGAACAGACGGGCCAATGGAGAGCAGAGGGAGCCTTCGCACCTTTCAGAAATGGTTGGAAGACCTGGAGAAGTCAACCGGCCTCCTCCTTGGTTGCCTTGCAGAAGCCAGCCAATGCTCTCCAGCATTGCTGGAGCTCCTGCTGAGCCTGGTCTTTGGCAAAACTTGACTTTGTGGCCCCCACCCTCTCAGAAGCATTTAAACCCACCCACCCCCTCCCTCCACCCAGAGGTAAGGACATAGGCAGGAGGGGCCAAGAGAGCTGGGATTTTAGCAACTCAAAAGAGGAAGCTAATGAGCACCAGCAAGCCAGATAGTGCCACTCTTTGGGGTCTATTCTTATGTAAATGAACAGGTTAAGTCAACTCATTAAATGTTATGGATGCCCCCTGGACTTTGTTTTTGTTTTTATTTTTTGCAGGGCCCCCAAAGAGGCAGGTGGAGAGTCTACATGGCTTTGCTCTTTCAGAAAGTTTGGCACCCAAACACTGCAAAGCTCAGACTTGGAAATTTAATTAATTAATTAATTAATTAATTAAATTTTTCAACTGCCCATCTCCCCCCAATGGGGTTCTTTAATTCCCTCTTCTGGAATTAAACTTCTGGAGAAGTTTTCACTCCCTGTCAAACTCAAGATTTTATTTGGTTCTGGCATGACTTCGTGTGACAACGTGTGCGTGCATATGAAAATAACAGGGTGGGAGAGGCCCCATCTACAGTCTGGGGGGCCATCTTAATGCCTACCTTACAGGGTTGTTGGGAGATGGGTTGAGCACCCAGAGCAAATTCTCTTCCTTGGATGACTGCTATGTGATTTTGAATACATTTAAGGTGGGCTCTTTAAAACTCTGGATGCTACTGTTCAGACAGTAGTTAGGGTGAGCATGTACAGAGTGTTTTTCTCTCACATCACAGAGTAATAACAGTACCACCCAAGATCAGGAAACAAAGCTGTTTACCTAAGATCCAGCACTTCACAGTTAATTTCTAAGCCTTTCCTTTATTCCTCAGTCTATCCTGGAGTCTAACTAAAACTCAGCAAACAGCAGAAACATTGTGGACATCTTATTTAATAAGGGTAAAGAATTTAGCCTAATTCCTTGCAAGTCTCCTGGCATTTCCCGATTGTTACTTTTTCTTCCTGGTCTAGAAAAGTCATTTGGGTGAGGGGGGGACAAGAAAAATAGTGGGCATGTTTTCCCCCTCCTCCTCCTCTTTTTGTGATTAGGAAAGACCAAGCATGGTGCCATGGAGGAAATTGCACCTTAATATCATTTATTTTGCTTAACAGGTTAATGACAGTTTGGAGGAGGACTGAGATGTGTAAAAATAGGCTTGCAGCAAGCAAAACTAACATAATGTAAAACAAAATAACAGTAATAATAACGCAACTTCTCTGCCTTCCAGCCAGATTGTGTGTTGGAAAAACTGAAAGTGGGTCGCCAACAGAGAATAAATGAGTAATCAGAGGGTTAGATTTTAAACCAGAAAACCAAATAAAATAAATAAAAGGAGCCTTCGGAATGTGCTGGGACTGCAATTCCCAGAACTCCCCATCTTCCGCCAGCTATCTAGGAATTCTGGGAATTTTCCACCTGAAAACCAGAATGCATTCATTCAGCTGTGGCCTCAAGGGCATAAAAGAGACTCCAATTTGCCAGCTGTGAGTTTCTTCAAATGGTCATTCTTTTCCCTGGGTGAAGAAAGAGGAAGAAGAAAGAGGAAGTCTTCAGAGCCAGGGCGGATAAATATCAGGGCGGGAGATGGAGAGACACAGCTGGCATCATGTGAAAATGCTCCGATCCAGCTGTGGCACTGAAATCCTCAAGGTTTTTGAAGCCTATTTTGGGGAAATTGACAGAACTTGCCGAGATGGCCAAATGGACTTCTTTGCTTAGAGCAGGGTTCCTCAACCTTAGCAAC